GGACATGTCCACATGGACAGAACAGAAAACAAAGTCAGAAAAAGTTTAATGAGGATGAGAAGTGAAACTCACCTACCATCCATAGGGTCTCGTGACCTTAGGAATGGATCAGCTATAGGACAAAATGGCCAAACCAAGGGCAGTAAAAGAGGGAAGAAGGAGAAAGTAGAGAAAATAAAATTGCCTGAGGATGTACCCTGTTCTAGTCCTCTGCAAAACAGATCTCACCCAGTGTTCACAGCATCTATGCTTTAGGAATAAAAGAGCTACCAAAATTAAAAATATAAATGACAGCAGCTCACTCTGCATTCCAGGGGACCAGCAGGATTCTTCTCATGAAACTCATGGCTTTGCAGAGCAAGGTGCCAACTAGCTGGGGTGTGAGAAGGAGAAAGAAATTGATGGTCTCTATTTTAGAAGCCAGACAGCACAACCACTACTCACCTATTATCTCCAACCCAGAAACGCAAGAGACAGGAAGTAGGAGGAAGACAGGGACAGAGACAGGAAACGTCAGAAACGAAAGAAAGAAACACGGGGAAAACAGTGTCAGTAACATGGTGCAGGCCAGTCTGGGGAGGAAGGTACAAGCAACAGGGTCCCTCTGTGGGGATGGAGAGGGACCTCATGTAGATAGATGCTGACGAGTGGGTCTGCACATCTGTTGTGTGTCAAAGCTCCTTAGTCATCCCCAGACTTGCTTCATAGTCTTCATGTCCATCAGCTTAAATGGAGACTGTTGAACTGCTAAGAATGATCTAAGGAGACCATGAACAGAGCTGAGAGAAAGAATGTGATGCAAGAGATATAGGGCAGCCACCCCAGGAAGCCACAGAAATACTAGGGAGGGAGAGAGATTAGATTTTCTGTAGGGACTGTGATCAGGGCCTGAGTTACTTTGTTTGGTCATTCTAAGAAAGTCTAGAAGTTTAAGGACTTAGTGAAAATTCTATAGGGAAGATATTACTTCCTTCTTATAGATAAGGAAAGCAAAGTGAAGACTATTTCCACAAGTTCCTTGAGACCACAAATACTAAGGATTAGACATGACATTTGAACCCAGGCCTGATCTAAGCCAAAGTTCATGCTCTTTCTTTCCACCAGGGTTCTCCTGAGAGGGACAGTTCACCTCTTTTTTTAAGGGCAGGGCAACCAGTAAGGATGAAGGGGGCTGCACCAATGAGCTCTCTGTGCTCATTCTAAAGGGCTGAGAACATCAGTTTCAGCAAAGGAGGCCCAAAAGAAGGGGAGACAATGGATACCTTCATACCCCATCTAATTCCCGACTTCTCAGGTGTCCAGGGCTGGATCCAAATTAATCATCAGACCTTAGTACAAGAAGACCTTCAGACAAAAACCTAACTCTGTAAAGAAAAAGAGGAAGCAGCAAAACAGATTCATTTAAAGAGTCTCTGCAGCCATAATGACCCAACAGAGCAATAGGTCATTCTCCACCCCATTTGTACATATTAATGGGTGAGAGAGCTGGCTGAAGCATTATTAGAGTTCAGCAAGACAAGTATTACCATTAAAATAATTTTACAATAACTCATGAACTACTACAAATGGGTTGGGAGAGTATCCCTAGTGGGAGGAAAGAGAAACATTTCAACTGATCCCGGCTGGCCTGGAGCAATGACTCAGACAATGACCTTTGGCAGCTCCTTTGTGCTCAAAGGACACTAAGCTCCATTCCTAGACTGCCACAGGGCTCATCACTAGATTCTAAGTCAAATCCAAGAGCCTTGAACACCTCAGTGCTGTGCAGAAAGACAAGTAGTCAGGCTTGGTGGCCAAGAAGTTGGAGAAGTAACAACTTCCTTCAAAGAGGTCAAAGTCACACATTCATAATGGAATCCACTGGGCACCAGTGGAGGCTTTAGTATCCATTCCCAGTCCCGGGGATCATTTCCCAGAATTATGAGCATAAGTCCATCACCCTAGAGGGAAGTCATGTGCAAAGCTTACCAGGTTCTTGTAAGAACCAGGCAGTGTACATAGTAGGTATTTGTTTTTTTACAAAAGCAAATTACTTAAAACTTCCGAGGCCATAACCCTGACATCAGCTTCTATCTTATCCATCCTCAGATGCTCTGTCCAGGATCTAAGTCTAAATCATTAGTCTAGGGGCTGGGGATTTAGCTCAGTGGCAAAGCACCTGCCTGGCAAGCACAAGGTCATGAGTTCAGTTCCTGGTACCGGAGAAAAACAAAAAAACAAAACAACAACAACAAAAAAATCATTAGTCTAAACTGGACATGTCCATCCAACATGAAGAAGAGAGTTTTCTTTTAGTTTTTAAAATCAATACCAATAAAGTTATTCTAATTTTTTACTTTTAGCTGTGATAAAATACACATAACATTTGCCATCAGAACTATTTTTCCATGCACAACTCTGTAGCATTAAGCATATCCAAGCTGTGCAGCCACAACCACCATCCATCTCGAGACTTTCACATCCCACAAATTTGAAATTCTTCATACTCATTAAACCAAAACTCTGCTTGTATTTACTTCTGAGCTTTAAAAGTCCTATTGCTAGACCATGGTATATGGTAATACACTTTTCAGCTCAAAGATTTCTGGAAATATTCTTCACAAAGTCTTAAAAAGCACCAGTACCCCCTGAGTTTGTCCCCACCAGAGAGTTCACAGCATGGTGGGAAGAATTGGAAGAGACAGAACAAAGTGATGCAGAAACAAAGGTCAATGAATTTTTCATAACAAAAAGCTCCAGGAAGAGCAAGTTCCCAGCTGGCTGCATTTAAACCTCAAGTTCACCTTGGGTTTGCAGAGCTAAATTGCTTGGGCCATTTCTGGCTTCGGCCTCATTACTTTAATGAAGGAATCTCACTGGCATCAAGTGATAAACCCAGCTCATTTTGGGCCTGACTTCCACCCTTGCCCTCAGACCTCACCACCACCAGGCAGCATGTATGAACAGCCAGCACACTCTCGAGAGACTGCTGAGTAAATCCCAGCAGAAAAATGGCCCTAAATATTTGGCAGGGGAGTAGGGACAAAATTACTCTGAGTCCAGACTTGACAGCTACCCACGTTTCACAATGCAACTGTCTTTGTGAGGGTTTCAATAGCCCCCAGGACCTATCTTCAAACACACACCAAGAATAACTTCACAGGGAAATATTTATTTCATGAGACTCGTGCAGACTGCCCTCTGCCCTTTACCAACAACAGATGAATTCCTGCCTGCAGAGAGAAACCATCACCCTGCTCTTTAAAGCAAGGAGACTATGGCTGAGCTGAGCAAGACTCCTTGATTTAAAGAGAACCAAGCCCATGATTCTCTCCCTGAAGATTCCTGCCGACATCTATGCCCCAAGGTCCCAGATAGAAGCCGGCTGGATCTGATACTGCAGTTTCCACAGAACCAGCCACAGAAGGGGGTTCAAATCTCAAATCAGGCAGTGCTACAACATTCTCTCCTGTCAGCCTTGAAAAGGTGCACATCATTTGTACCAGTAATCCTACTTTCTATAATCCAATTTCAGGAGAAAAGAGTGTGGACACACACACACACACACACACACACACACAATGACGGAAACGAGGATGCGCACTGTGGGGCTGTTTACAGAATCAAAATAGTGGACACAACTGAACTTCCAATGACCAGACACAGATGAAAAGCACAGAATTTTGCCTGTGGACTGGGAAAGAAAGCAGTCGTAAGACAGATGGTCTCTAGTAGCTCTAATGCCATGACAAAAAGTTTTGCAAGTGCAAGTAAATATAACGTGAAAAACTTGATTTGAGGATAATGAAGCAGGTAGATGGGTCCAAATTACTCACTCTGTGGTTCGTGTTCCAAAATTCCTTAGCTGACAAAGCAAGATCATGGCTATTATGTGATTGAAAGAAAAACAGTACAATGACATTAAATATGCTTTGAAAACACAGTAAATATGAGTTCACGGTGAGGCTATGGTAACGCTGGAAAGAGCACTGCAACTGGCAGCCCTGGGTCCCAGCAGCACTAGGAGGAACTGGGGTCCACAATACGCCAGGTCCCCAATACGCCAGGTCCCCGTTCACATGAGCAAGGGCAAGAAGTCTTCCTGGAGGCGACATCTGCAAGAGATGGGCACAGCTCTGCTCTTGTTCCTCATGGCCTGGCTGGGGTGGGCAGGAATGAGCAAGTTCCTGTAGGCTCCAACAAGGGATGACACGGAGGGTCTCTGGAAATGTCTCATCAGGATGTAAAGCTTACTTCCTGTGGGTTATTGAAGGCACAAGCCAGTAGCCTCTGAAAGACCAGACCAGGCCAGCCTGTCCAGAGCAGACTCTATTAGGGACCTAGATGATGTATGTGAATTCTTGCCTTTCTTCCTGCCACACTAAGGCTCCACACAAATCCTATCACATGGAAGTACAGCCTGGGGATACAACCTAACAGTGAGGATTCACCCAAGAGAGGCATCTGAATGAAGCTCTTTCAGCAGAAAGAGAGCATGGAAATTACCCTGTTTAAAATGAGCTTGTACAACTACCTGCCCACACCACTGCCCAGTATAGCAGAATCTGCCAAAGATAATAGACAAGCCCCCTCCCCATTTTTTTTGAGTGTTCAGTACTGCACCCAGGGGCTCATGCATGCTCATAAGCATCCTACCTCTGAGCTACATCTCCAGCACCTCCAAAACTTTTACAAAATATGTTTGCTTACTTTCTGGTGACAGTGTTAGGTGAATTTTCAATACTGTGGGATGAATGCACATCATTTAAAAATCACAGTAGGGAAAACCATACATGGTGAGAAACCTCAATACCACCAACATTCATGTTGCTTCTGAGTGGAATTATGAGAAGTTTATTTTTGTTTTCTTTCTGGCTCACCTATGTTTCAATAATATTCTATAATAGATGTATATTTTCTTTTCAACACAAAAAGTTTCTTGGCTTATTTTACTCACTTTGGCTATGCACCTGTTTCTCATTAGCAGCCTGCCTTATAGGAAGCACCCAGGGCAAACTCACCTGGCAGTGGGCAGCCCAGGATCTCCATCCTCATACAGATGTTCCCGTTATCAAACCAGGACTGTGGGTTTATGCGGATGTAGCGGGCCACCATTGGGACAGGCAGCTCATTGAGCACAGGGATCTCCTTTTCACTGTTTCCTTCAAATATCTATTTACGCTCAAGGGGAAAAAGGAGAATCTTTTACAGCTTGGTTATCCAGGAGTAAGAGACTCGGTAATTCACTTAGTCAACAAGATGCTATTAAGGAATACTAACTTATACTACGTTTTGAGGGGAAAAGAGAAATATGTACACCCTGGACCTTTCCCCAGGAAGCCCCACCAGCCAGAGTGGGGATAGTATTTATCTCCTGTATGACAAAGTCAGTGTCAAGCAAAGGATACTACGGAGCTTTGAGATTTTAGAAGAAGTGACCCGGCAAAGCTTTGGGGAGGAGTCACCATTTGACCAGGCACTGAAGGAAAGTTATTTATATCCATAGGGATGGGAGAGGTTTTACAGAGAAGGAATAGCAATAGTTAGAGAAGCCCAGAAATAGGTTTCCTTGTTAGAACAGCAGTTGATTGCCTGCTACCAGAACACAGAAGTCTTGGTGTAGAGTGAGAATGAGAAAGAAGGTAGAAAAAGAAGCTGCAGTCAGAGTATATAATGCATTGAATATCATCCTAGGAATACGCATTTTAGAATCTGAGTATGCAAGTGACAAGATCAGAGCTAATAATAGGGCTAAAGATTGAAGGTCATTAAACTGAAGACCTGTGAGAGCCCCTTTCATTGCCACATATCTACACAGGGTTAAGAGAAAACTGTATAAGAGGCCACATCACAGAAGCTCTTCTACTGGAGTAAAGGCTGTTATGATTTGCCCTCAATGCGGTACACTTGGTACTGGGCTTCAGGGCATGCACAGGGGGTCACTGTCCCTCGGACATTCATGGTTAGTTTGAGTTGACACAGAACTGGAAAACCTCCAGGGGACTGAGCATATGATGCCTTTCTTTGCAGAACCCACACAGCCGGGCACGAAGGGTATGGTTATAGGGAAGAAGAGGCTTACCATGTCTCCAGATCCATTCTTAACAGTGACCCATGTATGGCTGTCATTGCTCACCATGACTTTATAGGATGTCACCCAGTCACTCCTATGAGAAAATAAAACATCTTTGGAATAATACATTTTAAAATGCTTATCTTTTCCATGCAGAAGTGTAGACAAAAGAACAGGATCATTCTTTCCAACACTGGAACTCCACATTCCATGTTGTATTGAACCCCGACCCATGATTCCATGACACTTCCGGGCTTGTTGACCTTGGCCAGGTAACAGCCTTGAAGGATTAATGAAAATATTGAATGGTTTAATATCCTTTAAACACTTAGGATAAGCCCTAGCCCCTAGTAAACACTCAATGTTGATCGCACACATGAAGGTATACAAATACCCACCTGTTTGTATTGAACAGTTATTTCATGCAAAGCAAAAGCTTACTACACTGCCACATGGAAATATAATCTCTAGTGCAAATTGCTCTAGAAATTTCATCTGAAAAACTGACTTGGGAATGTAACAAACCAGATCCTACTAACCTCAAAAATAAGAGCTTGGGTCTATAAAAGGCACTGAGTTTCTCCTTGGCTGTCACTCACATAGACAGTCCCCACCCCAGCAAGAAACCAGTGATGGCTAGACCCTGTCACCCCTTCCTCCTACCCACAAATCACTGAGGGTAAAACAGCCTTAATTTGACTCCTCAGGGTGGAGGTCAATCTGATAGGCTTGGCAAAAACTAAACTAAACAAAAACTTTATTTACAAACACATTTTCCCCCTGTGTCTTGGTTTTCTCTATAACATTGTTAGGCAACATAGAAAAGTCTTTCAGTGCACTTCCCCTTCTTAATTTTTAAAATACTGGCCCTAAGCACTACTTGCCTAGTCTTTAAGACAATTCTGCCCAAGGGAGACTTAGGGCTCCTTCCTTACTGTGAGATCTGCTTGGTCTCAAGCTATCTTAACAAGGCTCTGAGTTTCCAGTCATAGTAAGCATTGTCCAGTGAGTTTAGGAAAAGCAGCAGCTGGTTCTATTCTTTCCGGGTCATCTGACTGACTATGAAAAAGTGTTCTTGGTCATTTTTGTTGTTATTTTTGTTTTGTTTTGTTTTTCCAGTACCGGGAATTGAACTCACGATCTCTCACTTGCCAGGCAGGTGCTGTGCCTCTGAGCTAAATCCCCAGCCCCTTCTTAGTCATTTTGGACATGCTTAGAAACAAAGCCTCCTCTCATGACTTCACCCTGCTCCTCTCTCCCCACCACCAGCTTTGTCCAAATATCTGCTGCAAGCCAATATCTATCAAGCAACACTTCTCGCCTTTTGAGAGCTCTGGGCAAGAACCAGGGCTGCAGATGGAGATGTAGTGCCTGTTGAAAAGCACCTCAGCAACAGCTCTCAGGTCCTTTGCCTGGAAACTTGTCCTCACCTAAAATAGCATCTGTTTCCCACATCTGAATAATTTCCGAATGACTTGCAGCTGCAGTGATCTTTGCTATCTGTTCTTCAGCCAGTAGTGCCCAATGGTGACCCAGCAAGGCAGACTGCAGGTGTGGGAACTGTTGTCTACTGAAACGAAGGTGATGAATTCAGGAACGCTCTCATCAAGAGAAACACACAAGCAGTACAGTACAAGGCACACAGAAAGACAAACTACGTTCTCCCAAGAAAAGAAAAGAGAAGAGAGAGAAGGGAAGGGAAGGGAAGAGAAGGGAAGGGAAGGGAAGGGAAGGGAAGGGAAGGGAAGGGAAAGGCAGGGGAGGAGAGGGGAGGGGAGGGGAGGGGAGGAAAGGAAAAGGGGAAATCAAAGTTGTAATAATTTCTCAAATATATATATACACATATATGCATATATGTGTATGTATAACACTGAAATTTGAATCATAATTGATTATGTGTCTCAGATCTCTTTTCTGAACTGCAGAGCTGCAGCATATCTTTCTGCCTATGCAGCCTCTCCACTTAATGTCTCAGCAGCATCTCAGAGGCTATCTTTGGCTGCTAATAACCCTCCCCCAACCAACTGGCTGATTTCTGCCACTTTGTGTGCCAACATGGTGGTCTAGCAGAGTCCCTGCCTCAGGAAAGGCATGTCCACCCACCAGGGAGGCCAAAGTCCTGCAGGCATCCTTGACGCTCCACTTCCCACTGCCCTATATTCAACCCATCACAAAGCTCTGTGAATTTTAAAGTCATAGCTCTGTGAAATGCACACAACCCTCTCCACCTCCGCTGGCACCACCCCAGCTCATTCTTTCAAGCCATGGCAGCTGCCCACAAATGGTCTCCTGGAATCTAAACTGCTCCTCCATCTATCCCGCATCCAGACAGAGGCTTGCTTTTCTAGTGAAATACTAACATGTCACTTCCTCCTTAATATATCTGTTAAGTATTAGATAGTCTTATAGTAAACAAACTCTTATTTTAGTATTAAGACCAAAATCTTCACTATGGTCTGTTGGGCACTTACTTACTTCTCATTTTCTAGATTCTTTCCTTCCGTTCCTGATACTGAGTTCACGTTCTCCTGCCTCAAGGCCTTGGTACAGACTGTTCCTCTGTCTGGACTCCTCCCCTTCCTATGTGCCTCCAAATTAGTCAGAATTCAAAATTTATCAAAAAGCTCTCCTGACCCTCCAATGTAGCCCATTTCTTTTCTCATATTTGTTTTGCACACTTATTTGAGCCTGTAATTTTAAACTCCTTTCTGGAATTGTCTGACAGTACTTTTACTTCCAGTGGAGTCCAAGCATCTCACAGAAGGAAGAAGAAAAGAACATGGTATTCTGGAGGCCAGGAAAGGAAGCTGATGTTCCTGGAGCACAGGGTGCGGATGGGGGAAGGGGATGCAGGGGACTGCCTGGTAGGCTTTGTACACCATTTAAGGGGATAGAACATTCCCTGTCAGGCAGGACAGAGCTGGTTCCCCTGAATACACCAGCACAATGGTCAAAAGTACCTGAAGACCAATAAGAAAGTCTCCTCCACCTCTGAGAAATTCACCAGGGCAGAATGTGTGCCATTAGAGACTGTCTCAGTGTTCCCCTGTTTACATGACAAAACAAACTCTCCCTTCTTCCACCTTTGTGCCCAGCTGAAAGGAAATGAAAACAGCCACGGAGAGGTATTCTTCCCAGAGGTCCATGGGGTCTTTGTTCATGTTGTCTCAGACTTAGTTTGAGATGTTGTATTCTGTTTTGGGAGAAACCGAGGATCAAACCCAGGGCTTCACACATACAAAGCAAGTTCTCTACAGAGAAACATGCACAGCTGCATTGTCTTTCACAATTTATAGGATTGCTGATAGTAATAATTTTTTCATTCTCATTACTTTCTAATATTCCTGTCTGAGAATATAGCTCAATGTACCACAATTTGTCTGCTTTATTGTTAATGAGTAGTTTCCAGTTTGGACTATCATGAACAGTGCTTCTATGAATATAT